AAGTACTTGCATTACGAAATCCCACCAGAGGACTTCTATTCATGGAGATTCTTTCTGACAGGATATACTAGCTCATTTTATTTGACCTTAATATTGACATTTAATTTTCTCATCATTGATGTTAGGCAGGCATCGACATATACATCTAGGACGTCTTTTACCCTCACTTTTACCACTCTTTGTCGTCCTAGATGACCAGTTTATCTTTATCTGGTACCATACCCTAAACCCAAAACCCTTGTTTTCAATCCTCGTGCATTCTATCTTTAGTTTATATCAGCAGATATGTGCAAAAACGTCAGAGAGAAGAGGAGCGACACAGTTTTCAGTCACACACAAAGGAGTCTGAATGGAATTGGGAAGGAAGAGTATCAGAAACATCAAGAAGCTTTACAAGACAAATCTTAACTGGTAATTTCGTGCTCTCTAAGACTCTATATCTAAAGGTGTTCCCTCTCTTTCGAAAAAAAAAAAAAACGAATGAAAAGAGAGAGGGAAACAAAAAGCCTAATGAGTCCTAGATTGTCGAAATTTGTGGAGCAAGAAGTATTTACTAAGCGTTTATAGAGCTATGTTTTTGAAAGATTTACAAAAATCTAAGTCTGGGGGAGTTAGGAAGATGACCAGTAATCTATGGCAAGAAGAAAGTGACTGAAAACTGTGGATACCAACAGCTTCACTCTCTCTTGCGGTTTTGCATAATATCTTGCATTCTCCAGATCTTCAGGTAACCCGTAAACACTTTAAGCCTTACCCCTAGAATAACTCTTTTTACACCTAGCCTAGATTGCCTTGCCTAGACTTTCTTTGATGAGAACCATCGAGATTTCTAAATGAATGTTAAGAGCTAGTTGACTGGAAGTTAGATCTAAGTGTGTAGATTTTCGCATGATGGATTAACGGACTAGTTTGCTTGTATTTTGGTGAGAATTTTCTAGACTAGATCCAAATAGATGTTTCACGATAAGTTATGGTTTAGAAGGACGGTCACTGAGATATTGTTTAGTTCCTGCGATTTTCAAAAATTTCTTTCCTGACTTAAGTTTGTTTGAGGACAAACAAAAAGGTAAGTCTGGGGGAGTTGATAACACTGTATTTTGACCACTTTTATGGATCATAATTGTATCTTATGCAGGTGTTTTAACTCTGTTTTCAATGTTTTTAAAGTGTTTTCAATGTTTTAGAGTTTCAAAAGACTTTACAGGAAATTTGGGCAAAAGATATGCAATTTGGAACAAATGAGCAATTTTGGATAAATGCAGACCGTCAGAAGTATGACAAGCGATGAAGACTTTCTCACCGTCTGATCACCACAAACATTTGAGACAACATAGAGGAACCAACCAGCTTTCTAATGCACTTGGTTTGGAGACAATCCAACGGTTAGATCTTCAGATACTCCCGATGCAAGAATGACAGAAAATGCAGTTCCGAAGGAGAGCAGGTGCCGGGACCGCGGCAAACACCCATTTTCCCGCGGGTAGAGCCACCGCGACCGCGGACTTTGGTTGTTCACTTTCCCGACGACTTAATTAAAGCCCAGATCAATTCCTTTCGTTATTTTTGAAGCCCTAAGTGTCCAGAACCACCTCAGAAGCTATAAATACCCCCTTTAGGTCATTCTAAAGGAGAGAGACCAATAGAGAAGAATAAAAACGAAACACAAGAGAGAGAGAGAGAGTTCGTGTGTTCCAAAAACCCTACGAGCCGCCGCTTGAAGAAGGAGGAGCCGCCGCTGGAGTGCAATCATCGCGCCTCCGTCCGCTTCTCCGTTCTTCGTTTCTCTTCCTTATTTTCTTTAATTTCCTGCAACTTTCAATACTCTGTTATGATTGTTTACAATATGTTTGAGTAGTTACCCAGTTGGGTTTAAAGGTATTGTTCAAAGGGAATTTCATGTGTCTTTGCTTATGAATCGATAGATTAGAATTTCTAATCTTCTAGATGTTCTTCGTTTGCCTTTAATCTTACTGCGTGATTCTTTGCTGGCCACTTAGAAGCCGATCTGATATGATATGTTGCGAAAGCTTTCATTGATTGTCTGAACTAGGGTGAAACGAGCAATTCTTCTATAGGAGTGGAAACCTACCTGTAGTTGAGTTGTGAATATTGATGAGTCTTGTTCTGCTATTGCATCTTCTCCCTTCCAGAATCAGAGTGGAAACCTACTGATTAGGGTTGCGAGAGATAGTTGTTTAGTGCTGCGAAAGTAGGCTATTCATACTTCCGTGCCTCGAGTTCTAGAACATACGTAGTTGATTACCTTTATCACTTGTTTAAAATCGACATAGCATAGACCATGAACCCCTGCGAAAACCCCTTGAGCCCCAACGTTTGTCTTTCATTGCTTACAACCTTCAATTCTATTTGCTTTCCAATCGCTTATTACTTGCTTACATTCGCTTTTGCTTAATCGATTTTACTTGCTTTAATTTGCTTTCATTTCAATCGCTTTTTACTTGTTTCCATTCGCCTTAGTTAATCGCTTTTTATTTGCTTTAGTTGCTTTCGTTTTTATTTGCTTTTACTTGCTTAGCTTTCTAGTTTAGATTTAGTGACAACAAAACCCCAAAACCAAAACCAAAACCCTTTTAGTTCTAATCTGATTTAAGCGTTGCGTTGAATTCGTACTGAAACAACTAAGTCTCTGTGGATCAATACCCTAAGTACTACAGCGCACATCTTTGCACTTGCAGACATTTAGGGGTTATAAATTTAAAACCTGAAGCTTAGTAAAACGAAAACAAACAAAACCCCGTTTACAACTTGCATCAACTAGATCCAAATATTGTCAAAGAGATATTGTTTAAAAGGACGGTCATAGAGATATTGTTTAGTTCCTGCGATTTTAAGATTCTTTCCGAGTTTGATATATGTTTTATTTTTAGGACAAACAAAGGTTTAACTGTGGAAGAGTTGATAACACTGGATTTTGACAATTTTATGGATCTTTTTAATATCTTATGCAGGAGATTTAACTCTGTTTTCAATGTTACCTAAGTGATTTCTATGTTTTCGAGTTTTAAAATTACTTTTCAAGAAACTTGGAGCAAAAGAGTGCATTTTGGAGCAAAAGAACGATTTTGGATAAATTCAGACTGTCAGAAGTATGGTACTCGATCAAGATCTTGTCACCATCTGATCATCCCCAAATTTTGGAGAAAAGATATAGGAGACAGCCAGCTTTCTAATTCAATTGGTTTAGAGACAGTCCAACGGTTAGATTTTCAGATATGTCCAATGCACTAAAGACATATGATGCAGTCTCGAAGGAGAGCATGAACCGCGACCACAGCCAGACCATGATGCCCCAGGGCCAGGACCACCACAACCGCGGCCGGACATCATTTATGGCCCGAGAGACCTGTTTCAAGCCCAAGTTAAGCCCACCACTTATTCTTTAAACCCTAGATGTTCCCGACGAATTAGAAGGCTATATTACTCGTTTTAGATCATTCTAATGAGCAAGCCGTGGATAGAGATCAGGGAAGAAATCTGCACACCTTCGGATTGCATTCTTTGGGAAAAGAAGGAGTCACCGAAGGAGTCATCATCGATCTCCACCTTCATCCGCGTTCTTTGTTCTTTACCTTTCTCTTATTTAATTTCCAGCAACTACAATATTTTTTTAATGTTCTTATACACTATGATTGAGTTATTCCTTTGTCAGGGTTTTAAGAGATTTTTTCAAAGAAAATTCATGGATTGATTACTAGTTTGTTAGATTAAGGTTTATCTTTAGAGTTCTTCGTCAAAATTTGTGTTTCGTGTATGTGGTTTGGATCGAACATCTAGCTACTGTGATTAGGTTGGTTTACTCACCGAAAGTGTTGTCGAATCGACTAACCTTATTTAGATGAGCAAATTCTCTTAGACGGCGTGAGTCGATCTAAAGCGTTTTCTGAAATTATCGAACTAATTTGTCTAGACACTTAGAGAACGGATGGGAGTTTAGTAAATCTGAGTGGATGGATTTGTGATTATTACTACGTGAGTAGGTTAGTCTTGGTTTGATTTCAAAAACATATCTATAGAAAACTCTATATTTTATTATCTTGTTAGCTAGTCTATGATTCCTGGCGGATTCCCTAACACCCAACACCTTCTCGTATCGATTTGATCCCATTATTTACTTGTTTTTAAGTTTATTAATTGTTATTTTTGTCACTATTCACAATCCCCAAACAAACACTTATATTTTCATCTTAGATCAATTTTCATCTCTAGTAAATTTGTAGTGCAATTACTCGGTTTTCAGTGGATCAACCCCTAAGTATTACAGCGTATATCTGTGTGCTTGCACCAAACTAGGGTTCAAACCTGAGCACATCAAGTTTTTGGTGCCGTTGTCGGGGCACAATGATCGGAAGATTTTGTTGCATCTCTTCGATATGGATACAGTTAACGATCATAGCGATCTCTTATGCCTACGAGTTTCAGGTCCGAATATAGTTTAAGGCACGTTCTCTTGTTCATAATATATATATACATAAATAAATGAAAAAAACTATATATATACATATAAATAACGCTGAAATGGACGAGAACAATAGACACTTGCTAGGTTTAGATAGGTTTAGAGACAACCACAACGTCCAGCAAAAATTTGATGAGAACGTTCGGTTCCAAGACGCTCCTCGCTTAACTCTAATAGATTATAACACTCTGTATGCTTTTTATGAGAACCGTTCTCCCATTAGTCTATAATCCATCAACGTAGACTATGACATTAGCCCGAACCACATAAAATTGGTTAAGCAGAACCAGTTCCATGACGATGCATCAAAGAACCCTATGAACCATCTCGGAGATTTTGAATAAATCTACAATACCAAACAATCGATCGGAGTTCTTGTAGATTACATAAAGTGTAAGATGTTTCCATTTTCTCTTTGTGATAAGGCACATGCATGGTTTAAGTCCTTGTTTCCTGGTTCACTAGGATCATGGGACGAATGCAAGGCTGTGTTTCTTAACCACTTCTACACCATATTTAGATCAAACTTCAATAGAGACAAGATTCATAGGTTCCAACAAAAAGAAGGTGAACTTTTTTATGAAGCTTATTATCGTTATAAAAAGTACATTCTCTAATGTCCTCACCATGGTTTTACAGAGACATGCATCTTAAACACCTTCTACGAAAGTCTTGAATGGACATCCAAGTCACCTCTAAATGTGGCAAGCTATGGGAAATTAATGACAAAAATTTTGGAAAAAGCTTACGTCTTGATTAATAACTTTGCCGCGAGCAGCAGAAACAACTATTCTGAACAAGAAAGAACATCATGGTCCGCTTCTCATGATCATAAGGAGATTGAAGAACTCACAGCTATTGTGAAACTGTTTTTCAAAAATCAGCAGCGTTCTGTTAATGTTTGTAAAGCAGGAAATGCAGCTGAGATTAATCATCAACTTGCAGCACTAGAGCACACCCACGTGAATCTCCAATCTGCTTCAAAACCATTCCCAACCTCTCAAGACAACAAGCTCGCGCTTATGGTGCAACCACTTCTTATGAATCCACAAAAATTAGCAGGCGATGTGAATATGAAAGTGGATGCTTATTCATTAACCTTAATTGATGAGTACATGGCCCCTAAAGATACTTTTCCAACCATGAAGAATAATGCAAGGACAAGATCAGGACTTAGAAAGCTCATAGAAGAGTTCAACAATGCCATGGACACCCTGATCAACCAAAGCAGCTTCGAAGACATCACCAAAGGCATTGATCAACTCGGCCTCGATCAGCCGCTTCTCAACCAAGTAGCAATGAGTTTAACGGAGGACAAGATGCTATTCATACAAGACAAGGACCACAGCGAGGAAGAACTAAAGCTTGAAGATCAAGATCAAGGCGATACAAGCATCAAGTCTACACCAACTGTGGAATGGCCACTAATAAAGACTCAAGGAGCTCGCATGATCTTCTCCATTGAAGCTACAAATGACTAAGTGTCAAAATGACACCAAGGTGAGTGTTTGGTTTAATTATATTTTTAAACTAACGAGTTTCCCTCTCTTTGTTTTGCAGAATTTGTCTTAAGGTCCTTATTTGTTATATTTCCTTTTAATTTAGTCGAGAACTTTAGTAATGTTTCCATTTTGCTTTATTTACTTTTACAAGAGTCTGTCGCAAGATTTCTTTCCTTTTCTTCAGTCTCTGTCGACCCTATAAGGTCAAGGCCGAAGGACTTTTTATAAAGTCCCACATGCGGCATTGTAAGACACACTTTTTACCCTAAATCAATAAAGAGCGTATTTTCTTAGAGCAGCCGCCTCTCTCTCCGAGTTCTTGAACATTTGTGTGGGTTCCCCTTGTGTTCTTGAGTTCACTGACTTATAACAGCCTCTTCATCAGCTGTGTGGCGTCACATCGATCCCTTGGTCCTTTGTTCTTCATTCATTCACCAATCTAAGTAAAGAGAGCATCTCAGCCAGTTACTTAGGTTCCACCCCTCCACACTTGATCATATCTCCTCTAAGTGAAGAGAGCCTCTCGGCCAATCACTTGGATCCATCCTCTTACCCCTGATCTTATATCATTAATGGTAAATTTGAAGCTCTTTCCACTCATTTTGGTAGCATGAACGTGAAGCTATCACAAACCACAGATGGTTTACAAGCCGCCAAAATTACCGAGAGACGAATCGCAGAGCTGCATGAAAAAATTGCCAAAGACAACTGCAACCTTGAGTTTAAGTTAGACAACATGAATGGTATTGGGTAGAAGTTAAACATCATGTATGATTACCTCAACAAGAAAAATGATGAATTATTTAAGAATTTCACTAACCGCTCAACTCATGTCAAGATGCTTGAGAAACAAATCCGGCAAATTGGAGAAAGTGTAAAGAGACAAGATGGTCATCTTCCGAAAAAAAAACCATTGACAATCAATGGGACGTTGCAATGTCATAGACACTGGTGGTGAGAGAGAGGTCACGCCTATTTATAGCAAACAAGACACTGAAGTTGAATCTCCATAATGTCCTGCAGAGTTTGATGCAATAGGGAAAATTCCACACTAGAAGCTTTATAAGATAAATGATTTGGTGAAGTTTGTCTTCCCTTGCTTAATCGAAGGTGTGAAATTTTTTGACTCTCTATGTGACACAGGAGCAAATGTGAATGTAATGCCTAAGTAATTGCAAACGAGCTAGGGATTTGTGATATCAAACCTCCTCATGGTTCTGTTATGTTTGGAGATAATTCAAACACGATTTCATATGGTTTCGTAACAGATTTGATGCTGCAAGTAGGAGAGTGTCTTGTTTCTGTTGATTTTCACATTTTTGAGATGGAAGATAATTCTCCTATGACATTAATACGTGGAAGTTCATTCCTTGCAACAGTGGGGGCAGTTGTTGATTATCCCAACGAAGAGTTTGTTTTTCTAAAGTCAAAAAGAGAATCTTCTATTCCGCAGTCTACAGTGGTGGAAGCTCTTACTGCATAACCATCTACAAGGAAGAGAATCTGATTTTAGATCCTGGATATAACATGGAAAGGTCCCAACACGTTTCTACAGAAGCCCCTTTAATCAAGCCTAAGGGAGTTTTCAAATGAAGAAAATTTAAGCACAAAGCAAGAAAATTTAAGCGCAAAACTATCTCAGGTGATGCAAGCTCGACATTGACTGCTCAAAACCTTGTTGAAGACGTTGGAAAAGATGGCAATGCTAAAGTACTCACCCTAGAAACACGTCCTATACCACCTCCAAAACCATAACTTCTGAGCTTCCTTCATTTATGCATATCGCAAATTACCTATCAGCAGAGGTCGAACTACCACGATTCTTTGGTTACAGGAAAAAGGAGTTCTTGCGTGATGTTAGAAGGTACTTTTGGGATGAACCATACCTTTAAGCAGTGTTCAGATATTTTGTTTCAAAGATGCATCCCGAAGAAGAAATTCCAGGAATTCTCTATCATTGTCACGGGTCTAACTACGCCGGATACTTTGCTACTGATAAAACTATAGCTAAGGTCTTACAAGGTGGTTTTTGGTATCCTAATGATGTGGTGTGTGTGTGGGAGCAAGTTTTACCCTAAACTGAAGCAATGAAAGCCGCAAGTGCACAACTGATCCGTTGTAGTACTTAGGGATCAAATCCATAGGGAATGAGGATCTTTTCTGCAAAACCTGTTGAAAAAGATTGAAGTAAGGAAGTCTAGACCTATCAATATTTAAAAGGGTTTTGGTGTCACTAAAAACGTAAATCCTAAACTAAGCAGAAATAGGAAAATGCTTAAGAAAATCGATTGGAAAAACTAAAGAAAACATTATTTAAAACTTGAATAAAATCGGTTGGAAAACTAAAGAAAAGCGAACTTGAAAAGCTTAAGAAATTCGGTGTAAATCTATTAAAATGAGGCACTGAATTGTCAGGGATTCTCTTCCGGGTATTAATGAATTAAAACACTGCTAAAAAGTAATATAAAAGATCATAGCTAAAACTTTTAGAACTCGAGCATTAATGTATGACTATGTCACTCCCGTGATCATAACCAACTGTCATCCAAGACTCTGACCACTAGCTTCCAACTCTGACCACAGCCACATATGTACGCAATCTCGCACTAGATTCATCTACATTCACAACTCACCCATAGGTAGCTTCCGACTCCTATGGTAAAATTGCTCTTCTCAAACTAGATCTGGCAGATAATGAAAGTCTCGAAACACTAAGTACCTAAATCAGATTATAGTTCATGTTGCTACTCTCATGAATTTTAGAAGAAAATGTTCTATGATTCGCCTTAATCGCTCATGCAATCTTCATCGAGCAGATAGGTTCCCTATCAAAAATTCCCTTACAACAAGGAAACTACTAAGACATGATTAAAGAAAGTAAAATTATTGTGTTGAAAAGCTGTAAAGAAATTGATATTGAAGAAGAAACTAAAAGGTTTCAAGAGATAGATATCTATCTCCCTATTCTTTTTGGAGTTCTGAACTCTGCTACACTTGTAAGATTTAGGAGAAGAATTTCTGCTACACTTGACAATAATTCTGAACTCTCTTGTTATCTTTAAGTTTATTCATGAATTTCTTTTCAACCTTTGTTGATGTTCTTTTCACCATGTCTGAGTAGTTTCTATTAGCTAGATTAAGGTTTTTTCAAAAGATTTTCATGAGTTAGTGAATTAAATATCAATTGTCTTCACCATTGTTAGTCTTAATACTTAGGTTGAATTGAGCACTCAATCTGCGATTTTAGGTAAAACTATTCATCAAAAATGTAATAGGTTGCTAGAAGAGACTTTGGTAAGCGATTCGTCCTTAGTCCACGACAGTTGATACTAAGGCGGATTGTGAACAAATCAAACCTGATTGTTAATGCTTGTCTGCGATTTCTAGGTTCAAACGACAGTTTAGAATTTAGGTTGTTAGACAAAGTTATCGAAGCCACAATAGTGAGTCGATATCCATTTACGTTTGAGTTCGAGACTTGCATTTAAATTGTGCCCTAAATAGTCATTTGATATTTATCTATGAAATTCCTGTGAATTGCCTTAGTCTAGAGCTTTGTTTTATTGAATTTAAATTGTTAAATACATTCTCTTACGTGTTATGTTACAACCAAACAAACCATGTTTGTTTTAGCTTTGTTTCAATCCTCGTAGAGTCATAGTGTAACGCTGGTCCTCTGGAATTCAAATCCTTTATATTACAATTCCAAGCAGTTCTATTGCAGTATAAACTAGGAGATCATATCCAGTGAATCACCTGCGGCCAGGACCACCGCAACTGTGGCTGGACATCACTTATGAGAGACCTGTTTCAAGCCCAAGTTAATCCCATCACTTAATCTTCAAACCCAAGACGTTTCTGACATATTAGAAGCTATATATACTCGTTTTAGGTCATTCTAATGACCAAACCATGGTTAGAGATCAGGGAAGAGAGCCGTGCACCTTTGGAGTTGCCTTCTTTGGGAGAAGGAGTCACCAAAAGGAGTCATCATCGATCTCCACCTTCATCCGCGTTGTTCGTTCTTTACCTTTCTCTTATTTAATTTCCAGCAACAACAATACTTTTGTGATGTTCTTATATACTATGATTGAATAATTCCTTTGTTGAGGTTTAAGGGATTTTCAAAGGG